GTGGGCGTCGGCGCCGCGCGGCCCCTTGCTGGCCCGGTGCATGGAGTAGATGACGAAGAGCACGGGCGGCGCCGACAGCAGCAGGATGTGGAAGAGCCAGAAGCGGTAGTGCGAGACCGGGAAGGCGCGGTCGTAGCAGGTCTGGCGGCAGCCGGGCTGCAGCGTGTTGCACACGAACTCCTCCTGCTCGTCCTCGAACACGGCGCCGCCCACCGTGGCCAGCACCAGGATGCGGAAGATCAGCATGACCACGAGCCACAGGCGGCCCACGAGGGGCGACTGCAGCTGCACGGCGTCCAGCAGCGAGCCCAGGAACGCCCACTCGCCCATGGCGCTGCGAGACAGGCGGGCGTCAGCGGCCGCGGCCCACCGCACCGGTGCCCGCCTGCCGCCCCTCGCTGAGGTGAGTGGGGCGCCCCAGCCCGGGGTCCTGTGAGTGAGCCCGGGGCGCGAGGCCTCCCGGCGGTGGTTCCGGGGCACCCTCCCCTGGGGGCCCATGGGCGCCCCGAGGTGGTCAGGCGCCCAGGGGTCGGCTGGGGGGACCTGCGCTCCTCCGGGGTCCAGATTGCTGGACCGGGACCCTGGAGGGCCGCGGCCGCGCGGGAGGCAGGAACACAGCAGGGCCCTGGGGTGCTTGGGGTGCTCGGGGTGCTGGCAGCCGCCAGAGCGGTTTCGGGAGCCAGGGCCAGGCCCAGCTTGGTACCCAGCGACAGGTGGGGCCGCGGGGCGCTCCCCACCATTTCTCTTACTCTTTTGACTGCAGTCAGTTCCCTCCAGAGTTGGGGGTTCTGACACAAGAGTTGAGGCACCCCCACTTCCACAACTCTGTCTCGGATGCTTTGTCCTCCCTGTTCCAGCCACTGCGACCCCAGCACAGGCCAGGCCGCAGCCTCCGGTCTCCCCCGTCTCCCCCGGGCCCCAGCCAGCTCCCACATCTCAGAACCTCCCTCAGGGCCCTGCTGCCCAGACCCTCTCCCTCCCACTCACCTGTGGCTGGAGCTGGGGCGTTAGAGCGTGCCTGGGGCCTTGGGAGACAGCTGGGACCTAGTCCTCCTGGCCCCTCTTTCATTTTCCCTTTTAGATTTGGCCAGCATGGATGACAGGACAGGATGGCCGAGAGGGGCTAGCGCTCCCCCTTCTCTTAAAGGGACAGGGTGACCCTGCTGCCCGGTTCCACCCTGGGGAACAGACACCGGGCACACCCCTTGCTGGGCTCTGCCCCCTCCCTGCCCACCCCTCAGCCCCCCTCCCAGCTCCACCCCTCACCCCCGGGCCTGTCTCCCTCCCCCACCTGGCTCTGAAAGGGGTTAACCCGGCTGCTCCCCTTACTGGGGGAACCAGCACCATGGAAGCTGGTTCTCCCCAACTCCCTGAAGGCCTAAGGTGTCTTCATGGCGCACAGGGAGGCCTGTCTGGTGCTGGTGTGGGGGGCGGGGGCATTTTAAGAGGCAGCAGAGGTGGAACAGGCCCGGCTCCAGATCTGCCAGCTGGCCCGGCCACCGAGCGCTTCTGGGCCGGGGTCTCTGGCCGGCGGGCCCACGGGCCTCCTGGAGGCTCTGCCCCTGAGGCTCCAGCCCAGGCATGTCACGGGAACAGAACATGCGAGCGCAGAACGTACGGGTGGAAAAGCCGAGCTGTCCGCGGCTTTGGCAGCTGAGTAAGGGCTTTTGCGTCCGTCTGCTTTCCCCTAGTTTCCAGACTGGCCGTCCTGTTATTTTATAATGTGAAGAATACATGGACAAAGGCTTCGTTTCTCCCAGCGGCCTCCTGCTCTCAGGGCCCGGAGGAGTGGTGGGTGGCAGTGTGGCTGGGCTGAGAGACCAGGAAGGGACACTGCAGGTTGAGGTGTTTGTCCCCTGCCTTTCTAGGCCCCACTGGACGTGTTCCCCACCCCCAATATCTGTGCTCCCGCCCTGGGCCAGCCCCCTGCTTCTTCACGGAGTCGGTGACATGAACTGGCTCGTTGAATCCTCTCGACAGCCTGGCGGGAGGGAAGTTGGGGGCTCAGGAAGTCCTGGCCACTCGTGTTCCAGTGACACAGCGAGTGAGGGGCGACCACTCGCGCCAGGCAGGCCAGGGTGGTCCCCATGCCAGCTCTGGGCCATCATGGGGCTGCCCGCCTTCGGCCTGGCTGAGCCTCCCAGGTCCCAGGGCCCACAGCCCGTTTTGGGGCTGGTGACACCAGTCCTGGAGCAGGGTCAGGGCTGCCACTCCTGGGGGGACAGGCACCAGGACTAGCCCCCCTTTGGCCAGGAGGGCCGGTCAGGCTTTTCCATGTGCTGATGGATGCCCATCTCAGGAAGGGTGGGAACGGGACCCTCACGCGCACTGGCTCAGGGGCCCAGCCCCGCCTGGAAAATCCCTGGTTGATGCTTGGGTGTGCCGGGGACCCCTCCCCACTCTCAGGCAGGGTCCCCTGGGGAGGGGGCCTGGGTGGGGAGACAGGGCTTGGAGGAAGTCCAAAGGAAAGCACGTGTGGGTCCCACATTCCCAAAACAGGATGTGGGGGTGGGGGCACTGCCGACCTCCACACCCGGCCTCACCTGCCAGAGCTGCTCCCTGGCCTCCGACCCCAGCGCCGGCCAGGGGGGCCCAAGGACACACCTCTCCTCCCCTGACTAGCCAGGAACCGTCCCTGCCCTGTCCCCAGGGCCCCTGCGGGGTCAGGCCCGCAGCCCAGCCTGGAAAACTCCATGGGTCTGTGAGATGAAAGGTAGTGGGCTAGGGTGGGGTGGGAGGTGGAGACCCAGGGCCACCCAGCGCTGTCCCCGGTCCCTGATGCCACAGGGCCAGACACAGGAGACGCTGCAATCTCTGGGCCCGGCCTTCTCCCCAGATAGCGCCACCGGTTCCGAGGTGTCGCTGATGCTGCCCAGAGCTGGAGGCCCTTGGCCCGTCCTTGGCTATACTTGAGCTGGGGCTGGGCCGAGAGGCCCCCCCGCCCCGTCCACGTTCAGTCTCCGTCCCCGACGCCTCGCTCCGCCCCCGGCTGCAAAGTCGCGCACACAGCAAGGTGGGCAGGCACTTGTGTGTTCGTGCTGTAGCTGCTACTAGTGATGGCAGCAAGAAATGGGCGCGCTTCCTCCCCTGTGCCCCTGTGTCCAGTCTTCTCGGGGTGTGGCCTCCTGGGGAGGCCTCCCAGCTGCCCTAGCTGACCGCAGCCCCTCCGCGCTCTTGGCTTCCTCTGCTCTGACTGGTCACTTCGCACCAGTCTTTTCCTCCCGTGTCCTGTGTGGCGTCCATCTGCTCTGTTAGCACATCACAGGGCTTTTGGGTGCTTTATCTACTGTCTCAGCTCCAGCAGCATCAAGACAGGTCCTGCAAGCAGCAGACGCTGTGTGAACACTCGTCGGGTGGACGATGGGCATTGGGCAGGAGGGCCGCGGGGCTGCAGGGTGCGCGGATCTGTTCGGCCTGGGACACAGAGACCCGCGTGGTCCGGCCTCACTGCTGCTCACTCTGCTGTGTGCTGTGTGAGTGACCAATGCAGTATGCGAGTGGGCATCAGAATGTCCGGTCCTGATACAAATAAAGTGTCTCTAGGGATGACCGGTGAGAGTCTCCAGTCCCCAGCTCAGCCTGGGTGGGGGCGGGCGCGTGAGGCTCGGGGAGACAGCTCCTTTCCGCCAGCACCTCAGGCGGCCGGCCAGCCTCCTGCAGGTCCCTGGCCTTTCAGACTGCCCCCTGGCCGGAAAACCCTCCACTGACCGACCTGGGTCCGCCAGTCGCCCTGCGCTGCTCTCTCTCCCCCTGGTCCCGGCAGCCTTTGGCTCCGGCTCTGCCCTCTGGCTCTGCTGTGTCCTCTCCAGCTGGGCCCTGCTTCCCAGCCCGGCCTTAGCTTCTGCACTGGCTGTGTGATTATTTACGAGTAAGTCTGGCGCACCAAGATGGAACAGCTGCTTAAAAACAGTAAAGGAGGGGGGCGGTGTGCTGCTCAGCGCTGGTGGGGTGATTCAGGGCCCCAGAGTACTCTGGGTTGTAGGAGCCTTTCAAGAGCCTTTCTCTGGGTGCGGCTCCTCCTTTTGATCAGTCATTTGTGTTCCAGGCTGTAGACCAGAGAGGGCTGAAGATGGGAGTAAGAGGCGCAGGACCATCTGGCTTAAAGTCCGGCCCAGGAGGCTGCCACGTGGACCCATCCGCCCACAGATCTCGCGCGGTGCGCTCCCTTGGCCACGCCCACCACAGGTAAGGCCGGGAGGCGTATTCTTTATTCTAGGGGCCATAAAACCAACCTGCCACACATCTGCTTCTGGTATTGACGGTGCATGCTGAGAGGGGGAGTCAGACTTACCCAGTGTCCTCCAGTCTGCACAGAGCGTTTCTGCACAGCCTCTCCTTGGGGAAGAGGGAGGGTCCTGGCGCTGCCCAATCACTGCCCCTCGGGGCTTTTCTTCATGGGCCTGCATCAAGCTCCAAAGAGGGGTTGTCGCGGCAACTGTGTGTGCCCACCTGGGCTCAGCCATTTCTAGGCTGCACATGTAGCAACCTGGCTCAGTAAGGTCACAGCTGGGCGGGTTTGGCTGGGCTCTGCAGGCAGCCTCATCTGCAGTTCCTTTCCGTGAAAGAGGAGCGGAACTGACAGATGAGGGAAACTGCATCGGGACTGGGGTGAGGAAGGAGGAGGTTTTGCATTATCAGGGGACGTTCAGAGCCCCTTCCGCTTCCTCTCCATGGCCAGTGCTTGTAAATGCCAGGGTGTACCAGCACCACAGTTCCTGCCTGGGGGAGTCTGACGCTTTTGCCCCATCACCCCTGAGACCAAAGTGGGATCAGCTCAACACAGGATCAACACGCAAGCAGAGTCCCTCCCTGAAGCAGCCCTCTTGTGTCCAAACGACTCCCCTTGGCACGGGCCCTGGAAAGTCATGGAAAGATACTGGGGCAGAAGACAAGGTCACCTACCGGCTGGGCTTCCTTTCCTCCAGCTACGATAACATTTACTGGGCTGGCTTTTGGTTCTTAGCTGCGTGTCTTGAGGCTTGAGGCCAGGAAGACACTGCCTTACTCAGAAGAAACAAATCAGAAAGTACTGAGGACAAATCTAAGGAGTATAAAATGAAACAACTGTTTTGAAAGTCCAGCATTTCATTCCGAAGCTAAACATACTTCATAAAAGAGTCGATGTCGACAATTCCACTCCTAGATATTGAACCAAGAGAAATGAAAAAAAAAAAAAAGTCTATAGAAAAGATTTGCAGTCTCATGGTCATAACAGCTTTATTTATAGTAGACCCAGAGTGGAAACACCCACACGTCCCTCAGCAGGTGAGTGGATCAACAAACCGCACAATGGAATAATACTCAGTGAAAAAACAAATGAAAACCCGCAAGCACGGGGAAACTGTTGATACCTGCAGCGACATAGATCAAGTTCAGGAGCCTTGTGCTGAGTGAAAGCAGCAGGTGCACATGTGTCTACCTATCATAGGGTTCCGCTCCCGGGTCCCTGGAGGCAAAGCTAAGGGAGTTAGGTCTGTCTGCGTCAGGGGCTGGAGAAACACAGAACTTGGGGTTAGGGAAACGTCTCGTGCTGCAGCAGGGCTAAGCAGGAGCGAACATTCCTCAAAGCTCATCAGTCTGTACTCAGAACAGGTGCATTTGTGTATGTAAATTATTCCTCAATAAAACTGATTTAAGAAGAAAAACTTTGTCCTATACTGAAAAAAAATTATTATTTTTTAAGATTTAATTATTTATGTATATAAGAGCTGTTGTACAGGCCAAAGGTGCAGAGACAGAGTGGGGAGCAGAACAGGCCGACTGGCGGAATACACTGCTCAGGGGAGCAGGAGGGGTCTGCTGCGCCCTGTGGGTCACTCCCTGGCCGGGATCAAACTCTGCTGCAGTGGCTGCGAGAGCTTCATAGTGCTGCGCTTCAGCTCCTTGCACCACCAGGGAGGACCCATTACTGCCTCTCTTACCCACGCTCTGGGGAAGTCGCTCTTCCTTCATCTCTTGTCCTCTCTCAGCCACACTGGTCGGCCTGGACCCCACTCTGGCCCCTGCCTCTTTCCCCTGTGAATTAGAGACATTTGTCCTG